AAAAGAAAAGAAAAGAAGATAAAATTCAGGGAGATTCTCAAGAAAAACAGTAAATTAATCTGTGATTTTAAAACTTCCTTGCAGTGACAAGCCTGATAAGAGGAAATCATATTAGAGCTCCAACGTAATTGTCTGCCAGCAGGAAATCATGACTTGCCAATACCATACACATTCCTGAACAGTAGTGTGGGTGCCGGCTCCTGTGCTCAAGAAGTTTTTCCAGCTATTCTTTTCTCTTGGCTTCGAAACTGCTGCCAACATAATGAAATACATTTTTTTTTTTTGCAACTTTCTTATATATTCATAAAAATTAGATAGAAATACGACTTGTAGCCTGAAACTAGATTTTTGATAATGAACCTTCTCCTGCAAAGGGCATCTAGCCTACAGTGCTCTGCAGTATAAACACAACTATGTTCAGATATACAGAATATTTCCTAAAGTTTCATAAGAGACAGTCAATTCCAGTGTTGCTCACAACTGTGTAAACTGGTACCAGACCCCCAATACTCAACAAAATGCTTTCAGTCCATAAATACATACACCTTGACATTTACTAATTTACCTGCTATTGCTGAAAACAAATCACAGGATTACTAGAACTGAACTATGGAAAACAATGGGAATATTTGCTGCTCAAAGGATGAGCAATCAATCCAAAGCAGGTGCAATAAACTAAGATAGTACCTCTAGCTTTTGTTTTCTAGAGTGACTATAATTGAAATTGCTTGTCTTGCTAATATTTATTAAACATGCTTTAATACTGTCTTGCTAATATTTATTAAACATGCTTTAATACTTATGCTATTTTGATTAACAGAAAATTTCCTTATGCCATGGCTATATTATCTCCAGTTCATAATAATATGAGTGCTATATTTGTACATTCATTCAGTATAATTTCCACTTTCATTCAGTTGTTACTCAAATGTACGACATTGCCAAGATAAGACACTGCTAATGAACACCTCAAGAAGGCACAGTACTTGACTACACTCAGCTGCACTGACAGTTTGGCTTGCTAAAAAAAATAAATCCAAAAGAACTGTTATTTTGCACAAATTTCAAAACAAGACCATACTAATAATTTTGAATACGAAGAAACACAGGAATACACGACCAAAATCTCCCACTAAGTATGACATTGGCTTTTATCAAGGCATAGTCATGAAGCATTTTATTAAAAGAAATGAAGCTAAAGTTACTCCAGTCAATGAATATTTCAAGGATTAGAATGCACTTTACAACATGCTGCAAATGTGAAAAATGCTGGAAGTACTCAACAGTTATCAATGGAACCTTTCTAACAGAGTTCTCATTCCTTCATTCTTCTACACATCTGAAGGGAACAGTCAGAGAGGTCAAGCCTGAAGAAAAACAAATTCAAAAGAAAAGTTCATCTGTTCCCTTAAAAAAGCACCAATGACCAGATAGCTGTAAAGGAAGCAGATCCACATGTCCTGACTGTCTAACTGCTCACCGTACAATTTTTGTCTCCTTGTTCAAGGTTTGTACAAACCATGATTCTCATCAGTTTGGATTATTTAAAGAGACAAACGAAAGCTGTGAAATATCAAAACTGCTGAAGAGTACTGTAGTTGTGTGATGTCAAAACCAGTAAAATCGATAATAAAACCTTCAGAGCTGCCAGGAAAAACAAAATACAAAGCAAAACTACCAACAAGATGGCTGGTAGTTACAATATAAAACTGAGAAGAAAGTACTACGGAGGAGTATGTAAGAATGAGATCTATAAAATAAAACATGGCTTTAATCAGAGCACATAGGTCTAATATATGTTTTGAATTTCACTTTTATATTTTCATTTCAAAACTTGAGAGACAGCATGCCACAAAGAAAACTACTTCAAAACACTCAGTATTAGCCTATCTTCAAAGTGGCTTGTATAAATCTTAAATTTCAGCAGCAGCAGTACATTTCAGTGCAAATTCTCCTACTGATAACATACTCCAAATAGTAATGGAAACTCACAAATGAAGTCATATTAGCATAGCTGGGGAATGGCTGTTATGAAAATCCTCAAAGGACCTCAAGAGTTTGCCTCAGAACTTTTTAAAACTTTCTGGTTCAGACTTACTTGTGACAATGCATTTCTCGCAACACCTTTCTTTACAGGAAAGACACCACAAATTGTGTTGTTTACACAGTAAACGCACACATGCAAAATCTTTATAGTGTTGAAAAAGAATTAGAGTTGTTCCTTCCTGTAGACAGACTATTTTTAAAATAGAAACCAATAATAAGCAGAGGAGGATCGAGGCAGAGATTAATGTTCCTCCATGCTTTTCAGCATTATAAAGCTACTTTTATAACACTGAAGCAAATCGTACAGTGACTGACATGAACAAAATGACAGTAATCTGTCACTATTTCACATTTTCCACTAGGTTGATTCAAATAGTTATTTATGAACCTTACACTTCAATGGTCACTTTGATGACTAAACCATAAATTAGAATGTAAAGTGAATGTAAATTTGATTTTAGAGTAACAATAAATTGTCAGCAAAGAAGGATATTATTTAATTTCCACCGACATACTATGAAAAAGTCGGCAATACCAAGATGATCTACATCATAATAAACCCCAAACTTAGCAAAAAACTGTATGCTACATCTCATGTTTGCTTCAATACTTCTGCATTTAAAAATAAAAACACTTTATATTATGCTTGGTTAGTTTTAAATATAAAGTCTTAATAATGCCAGATGACTTCATTATTTAGATTTTCAATTAAACAGGGAGGAAGAATGAATTTTTTTCCACAGAGTATGATGAAATTTAAGAGCAAGTAAATATTAATATGAATTTAGATGCTAAGGTTTTTAACAGTCCCAATGAAAAACTGGCTTTAAAGACAGTTGCTGTTTTTACAATATTTATCTCTTGCTTTACAGCTGAAAGTGAGTGACACTGAAACATAACAGAAGTTCTGCAAAGCACAAAAGTTCTCAATTTTTTACAGCAAAAAAATCTTTATTACCCAAACATCAAGTCTTACAGGGATTTGTGTAAAAAAAAATTATCTTGATAAAATAATTTTCTTTTATCAGATTATTTTTTGTTAAAAAGCTCCATTGTGTATTATGTTACTCTGTGTGTTACTGTCTGTTACTCCCGGAAACATGTAAGATAAACCCTTCCAAAACTGAATGCTTATACTTTGTCTGGAAAATTTCTACAAGTATGACATTTAAGATTTGATTTAAGAGATACTTCAACAACTGAACCTGGGTCCAGGCAGATGCACAGCAAGAAGGCATAAATGAAGTTAATCCTATTGTGTGATGCTATTGGCGAGAACTCAGCACCACACTCTCAAAAAACCTGGAGACAGGTTAAGTGCATTAACACAGCAGAAAATCTGACTCCACATCACAGACTTTACGCTATAAATATCTGCAGCCACGAGGTCCCTCCACAGCCACTGTCCCTTGAGCAGGGATGCTTCTCAAGGTGGTACCAAGGCTGAGAGATACCTTACCTGACACCAGACATCAACAGGTTGGTAACTGATGTTTTTTGCTTGTATGTAACATTTAAGATACATATAGCAAGCTTAAGCAGTAATTTTTGTATCCCATACTAAGTTTAAGGGTAGTATGTAGTGGAGCATTGACCGCCAATCTGTTTGTAATAATTAAGTATTTTACATACATAAATTTACTGATTAGAACTCAAGAGACTAACTACTAGGTCAGATTTGTACAAGTGATACCCGACTCTTCTCCTGTGACACCCCTTCCTTCATTTTCTTCTCCAGCCTCTAGTACTTCCCTGGAGATGTATCAAGGATGTCAAGGCTCTCCAAGACAAAACCTCAAAAATAAGAGCTGAAAAGACTAATTATCACCTACAGATACGAGAAAAAACACCATAATATTTAAATGCAATTGCATTGTAGCAATCCAATCTGAATTGTTTCTTCGAGAAACACTTAAAATACAAAAATAGCAGTGTTTAGGTTAAAAAAAATAGCAAAACTATGGTAGCACAAAACAACACCTGTTCCTGGAAGAAGACACGCCAAAGAAATAATTTAAGTTGCACCTAAGTATTCATACTTAATTGTCAAATCAAAGGGCCCAACTTCCTACTGAAATAAGAATCCATCTAACTGACCTGTGGCTTGTTTAAAGATGCATGTTAAAACAAACCATGGAGGAACAGGTGCACATATTCATTTGATGCTTAACAAAAGTGCTACTGAGCGTTGACTGGTGTCAGCAAGTGAAGATTTTGCAAGGAGAAACTGCTTAAGCATTGCAAGTGCCCTTAGAGAGTTCAGATGTAGAAACTTGCTTCCTTCCAATTTCCAGTGGTCACTGTAGACAGACAGTGGGTATGTATGAGAAGTTAAAAAGTATCTAAAGTTCAACGAAGTCTAATTTATGTCTAAATGAGATGTTATAAATGCTACTCAGACAAGAAAAATATTGCCAATGACTCAAATAATCCAAAGAAAAATGTATCATCCTGTATGGACACATTTACCCAGAATTTACTTAATTCACTTTAGGATTTTTTCGTTCTAACACTGTATCAGGACATAGGAAAAAACAAACACGGAAGAAGGCAAGACTATTTGAAGTGAGTGTCACACTCATCCTTCTAAACCTGTGATGTGAGGAGGAAAGGCTGAAGAAAGGAATCTAATACACATAACCTAGAGGAAATAGATTCAAAGGAAAATTAGGGCAGAATAGAGAAGCAGACAAACAGCAGAGAAGGTAACAAGAGCATACAAACTTTTGACAGCAAGGCCTGTTCCAGTTAATGGAACCAACAACCCTAAATCCCCCTATTGCAACCATCATGTACAAACAGATGTTTCCCATGATTTCAAACTCAGACATACAAAAATCAACATTCATCTATGGATGTTTTGAGCAGGGATCTATTTTTTCCATCTCTGGTGGCATAAGATAGTTAACTGAGGAGGGTACAACTCTTAGATAAAATGAGAGAAATAAACATACCTGCCGGCGAATAACCTCTAGGTTTGCTTTGGCTTTGTTCACTAATTCTTCTATTTTTTCAGAATCCTTTATATTCTTGTTTTCTCTGAAGGCATCTCTTATCCTTCTGATGGCATACGTTCTAAACACAAACAATAGCAAGATGTGTATTCACAGGTGTGCCACAATTTATGAAATTTCAACATTCCTTAAAACAAGCTAATGTAAAGAAAAAAATGCATACACACACATACACATACATATTTTGCCCAATTTTATTCCTATATCTTTTTATTCAGGGTCTTGTCTTGCCAGAATTCAAACAGTGTCCAGATTCTTTAATTAAAAAAAAAGTGGGTTTACTGGAAGTTGTTGTAGAAACATTTAATATTTCACATATCAATCCATCCTTAGTGCTGTAACAATACTGTTGGATGCCTGGCATGAATACTGCAAAGCTCAAGAATAAAACAAAAGCCTAAGGACCAGAAAGTCATTTCCCAGATTATTTTGAATCAGTATGACTATTCTTAACCTGCATATTTTAAAGGTCATTGAGCTAGCCACTAAATACATTATATATTTTTACTAGGTCTGATGTTGTAAACTAGCAGTGAACAAAGGCAGACTGATGGACCAGCCATAACAAAAAGGACTCCTTCCCTGTCATCCTTTTCTTCTCCTGCCAAGGTATATTTCACCTCTCATTCCAACACCTCCTCATCCATTTCCCCACTAAGAAGCAATAACAGGACATTATTCTGCAAGCAGAAAGATGCTATGATCTCTGCTTACAGAGAGGAAGATCCAAAGCTGTAGCCTTTTCCAACTGCCTCTTCTTTCCAACTGCAATCTGCAGAATACTGCTCAATACAAAATGGGGCCCATTTCCATATTAAAATAAAATTTTCAGACTTAGAGGTAGATACTTTCTTTACATGGGTCTTTGGGAGGGGCAGGAGAAATGGCAGTAAACTAATCCTGCTCAGCTATCTCAATAGTGTCCCAATTCTGTACCACCACATCACATCAATATCACTTTTACTCCAGAAAGTAAAACCCTACATGTGGCACTGGAAAGAAACAAAAGGCTGCTGCAAATACCATAAATAGTTTAATATTTCAACAACCCTTCTCAATCTTGTATAACAGTGGAACTTGAGAGACAAAATTGGCTAAAACACTATCAAAAAATGCGAAGACAACGTTGACAAATAAAATTATTGCAGGAGGAGACTGAAGAAGGGAGAGGAAGAAGAGTGAAGATGAATAGCCAGTGGCACTCTGTTCCATTAGATGGTGCTATCCAGCTCCTAATGCAGCTTTCACCAGCCAAGCAGTGCATTTTCTCTTTGAGCTCATAAATAATACATTTCAATCACAGGAATCAGGATGGTTATGGAGTGCCACTCTGCTGCCGCACACTGGCAGATGGCGCGTGCTTTTAATTACGGCCTGTTCACCTATAATGTGACACTGGGGTGCAGGAGTGAGTGTGTGTGTGTTTGTATGTCTGAAGTTAATAGAATGTATTAAATATGGAAGCTCATTCTCATCTGCAGCTGCTGTCCCAGCAAGATTTGAAGGGGAAGCTGATTATTTCTTCTAGAAAAGAAACAACCTCAAATCATTAGGATGTAGTATAATTCTGTTGCTTGATAATGGATTGATTTCAAATCACCCCATATACATATGTAGGTTAAACTGTGTAGAAACATATATTTTCTGAAAGGACATGTTTCCAAGAGATACAAAGACTAACATAAACATATTTAGCTTAAAAGTAAAAACACCACCACCACCAAGTATCCATTAGTGGGTACAAGTCTTTCAAAATGCAACACAAACGAGTAAATGCTATCTACATAAAAAAGATAGATGGGACAAAAGCAAATTCTTGTTCAGTATAATGCCTACAGCTGGTTGTTTTTTTTTTTTGTTCTGTACATATGATGCATTAATTGTTACATCTTGTTTCTCTTCCTCTCACTACATCCAACAATTGTTGAGAAAGAAGAGATACATACTTAGAAAACAGATCAATTTTTATCTATAATCATAAAGTTGCACTGTTTTTACCTTTTATGATTTCTTTAAACTTTTATGAATATTAACACCCAAGGGAAGTCATTTTACATAGTCTTTAACACAATCTTAATTCTAGAGCTAAATCCATGTATCCCCGCTATTCTCTAAACACACTTTAAAGACTAGCTCTATATCCTGACACTACTCTTTACCAAGGTTACATTGAGATTTAATATATCACTTAAAATAAGGATGAGCTCAATTCAAAGCTCAAACCCAATACTATAATGACTGTAAAACATCCTTTCCTCCCCATTGAGAGGTGCCAGGGGAACATTTTACCAACATTCAAATTCTTTAAAATTATGTAAAGAGTTTCTGAACTGAGTAGGCACTAAAAGCAAGAACTACCCTAAGAATTGCGATATTGCTTCAAGTCCATGAAAAAATGGAGCTCTTCTGAAAGTACAGTAGTGTATGTAAGCAACATACAGTAAAGATACACATGCTATGAAAAGAACTTGTTCATTCAGACATATATCTGTTGGGGTTTTTTTTAAAGAGCACTGCTCCAAAGATCTTCTGGTTGATAAACAGAGTGTTCATGTGACCAGCTACTCTAATGGAGTGTATTTTCAGTTCAAGAAGCATAAATACTAAAACCCAACGTACCATTTGAAGGCACAGCTCAAAATGCCAGTGACAGTGGTTATCTTTATGAAACTTCACAAGAGTAACCTAAAAGAAGCACTATCTGAAGACAGAGAGGCAGATGAAAGGCAGATTGGCAACTGAACAAGTGGCTGTACTATATGGATGATTATTTATCCAAGGGGGCACTAAGGAACAGAGGGCATACAGCACTGCAACAAGTTTAAGCCAATGTGAGTGAAGAGGAGCTGCTGCAATTTTGCCATGCTTCCTGGTAGGCACAAACCATCCCTTTGCCTCCTTTAGACGAGCACAGTCAGTCTGATTTGGCCCAAGTGAGCCAGACCAACTTGGTAACCTGACAGAAGGCCTATGTACTACAAGAATTAACTTCATTTTTTGTTGTTTTGGCTTTTTGTTTCCAGATTAGTGAGCATCATATACTCTGCATGGGATTGGATGAGTATCAGCACTGAGGAAGAGGGAATACAGCAGTTCTAATTTTGATGGATATAGTTTGCAATTGATCCCTTTCAGAAAGGCTAAGCAAGTCATGTAAACAAAGGGGACTCTTCAGTGAGAAGGTACCAAGCAAACTCTTCAGAGAAACAGAATGGGAAAGTAATTTTGGATACATACACTCAAAGAGCTCCTTTAGACCTTTGGGAAAGGTCTAATTCTTAATGCAGTAGTATTCATGAAGAAACATAATGTAAATGAAAACTTGAACTACATTTCACAATGCACTGTTTTTCTCACTATTCTTTGAAAAGAGATATTGAAAAATGGCTGAAAGACGCAATAAGGCATTTTACTTTTGTCATCCAAGTGCACTGAAATTTTAATAGAGAACACCTTTGCTTTTATCTTCTGCAAAGACTTTCCAGCAAGCTAGTGACAGTGGGGCCCAAGTAAGAGTGTACAGTTGAATATATTCACTCGGCACTCTCTTACTGTGCACACTCAAAACACTTCTTGTGATCTCTACTTACATGCATCTGTCACACAACTAGTTCCCAATTAAATCAAAAGAATGTACTCAATGAGTAATAGACTTGGTGCAATGGCTTCAGACCAAAGCACCCACCGCAGGTGGGTGGCTACATAAGGTAACAGATGCACATCAGCAGAAAATAGAAAGAGTGGTTGGGGGTTAATGCACGAACAACACCAGGGCCAAAACATTACCGCAGACTCACAGGCAATGGGCACTACCTGCTAATGTTAAGAGACAACAATGGCTCTAAATAATAGTAAAAAACACAGAGAAAACAGTATTTGTCCTAATACTCTACCTTGAAAGAGTTCCTCTTTTTTCTTCTCTGAAGCACAATCAAAAACCTAATGTGTCCTCAAAAAAATGAAGCCTGTAAGAAGCAAAGTCTGAACTAATGACTATTAATGAAAAATGAAATCGCAACTGAGGTACTTCAGAAAATAGTATCTGCTCGGGGGTTTAGATATTTTTATTTCAAAATGTTTACTTATGTCACGTCTGGCCAAAAAAAATTAAAAATCTTTGTGCTTTGCTAAGCCAGAGTGTAAAAAAAGAAGGTGAACCATCAGGCAAACATACTTGCTTTTTAAGTACATAGTACCAAGCATTCAAAATAAAACTGACCAAGCAATGTCCTTCTCAGAAACAGTTTGCATTTACCAGTATCACACACGTTAAAGGCTTAAGTCATCTTTCCAAGACACATTTACAAACATGTTGACATCTCTTGTCTTTGTGATTGTCAACAAGTACAATGTATTGTACCACACCACAGTTATAGGCAACATACAGCGAAAACAATGGCTGTTAAAAGTTGTCAGCCATTGAGTGCACATGCAAAGATAGAAGAAGGAGGATTGTGGTATGTATACTGTGCAAGCAAAGCAGAGTACAAGGGAAGAGCCCAGCAGGTTAGAATATTCACAACTTTTAAAAAAGGTCTAGAGTAAAATGCACTTTTCCTTATTAGTTTGAGTTGTATTTAATAAATTAAGGCAAGTGATCAGTAGCCAACCTCTAGGAAGCCCTCTAGGGTTAATAATTCTGGAATGAATTATAAGATGCTTTTATTTCAGGACACAATGTACAAAAGTGGGATACTGATTTAGAATACAGTACCATTATATCAAGTGAGGGATCCTTTTTATAAAAAGGTCAGCTTTCTCTCACTAAATTATATTTTCTTACGACTGCTGCCTTCCAATTAACATCTATTAACTTAAGGTAGAAACAACATGAATTTTCAGAATTTTCCATTATTACTAGCAAAATGTGCACCAGATGAGATTTGCCTTACGATATTTTCAGAATTACATGTCATTTAAAATAGAAAATTTTTACAATAAAAAACTATATGCAGAAAAATCGTTTTAGCTTACTTTAAAGTTTTATTAGCATTAGTGAAGATGTATGTCTCCATATACAGAACTGCTTCAGAGGGAATGATTATTTATATAAATATATGC